CTGACTGCTGCTTCCGTTGGCATCGATTGTAGAACCAAGCAATGTGAATTCCTTGACAACCTCAATCTTCTCTCCATTTATTGTGAGGCTGCTCATTGGTCCAGTTGTGAGGATTTTTGTTTTCTTTATATTGAGATGTAATACATACTGCAGACTGTATTCTTCAACCTTCATCAATAGGTGCCTTAAGTCATCCTCACTTTCAGCAAGCACACAGAAGCAGAGGCCAGGCCAAAAGGCCAAAGGCCACAGAGGCATGTGTAAGAGCACAGCAAAGGGTAGACTGTCCTGATCAAGGAACTGAATCCTGAGTGTGTTCCTGAACTTGAGTTGTAGCCTGTTGCTTCCTTAATAAACCCCATCTTCTGTAAGTGGTGTCTGTGAGTTCTACGTGGCTGCTACAACGAATTGTCAAGCCCAGCAGAGAGGCAGTGAGTGCTGTGGGAGGGGCAGTTTGGTGTCAGGGTTGGCAAAAAGGGCTGGAGGGAGGCAGCATGTCTGGCCTTGCAGGAATAGGCCTTGGGCTTCTGATAGTGATTCTGTCCTCCTCTTGTGGGATTAGAGGAGGCCAGAAAATGTGGTCTCCTTGCCCCTTTAGCAGAGGTGACTACCAGTTTCATCATGGGAATAACTATATCCAGCCGCCCAGCAACTCAAAACCAGGCCCAGCCAAGTTGACATACAACATTAACTACCACAAGTACTTTAGTCTTCAAAGTGACATCTTTGGTCTTTAACACTTTAAAGAAGTCTTTTGCAGCAGATGTGCCCAATGCAATATGTCATTTCACTTCTTGACTGCTGCTTCCATGGGTGTTGACTGTGGATCCAAGTAAAATGAAATCCTTGACAACATCAGTTTTTTGTCCAATTATCATGTTGTTTATTGATCCAATTGTGAGGAATTTTCTTTATGTTGAAGCATAATTCCTACTGAAGACTGTAGTCTCCGATGTTCATTAGTAAGTGCTTCAGTCCTCCACTTTCAGCAAGCAAGGATGTGTCATCTGTGTATCACAGGTTGTTTGTTAGTAATAATCCTATTGCTGTATTATTCTACATATAGTCCAACTTCGCAACTTATTTGCTCAGCATACAAATTAAGTATGGTGAAAGGATACAACCCCGATGTACACCTTTCCTGATTTTAAACCATGCAGTATCCCTGTGTTCTGTTTGAACAACTACCTTTTGGTCTATGTACAGGTTCTTCATGAGCACAATTAAGTGTTCAAGAATTCCCATTCTTGATGGACAC